TATTAATATAAATTAGATGGATAAACGTCAGGCTCGTCGACAGGACCCCATCCAAAAAACTTCTCGTAGGCCGAGGAATTCACCAACAAGTGATAATGACACGCTGATAATTGAACAGCAAAGTAACACTATTCCTTCTGAAAGACAAATAGTACGCACAATCGATGCCGGTCCTTTCATGTTGCCGCCTGAACCTATCGGTGTCTCAGAATGGCAGTTAGGACTGGGCGTAGGGACTGGTGCCTTTACGAATCAGCAGCTTACCCAAGCAAGTGGAACCGAGAGGCAACTAGTACGTTTGGTCGATACAAGTGTCTACGAATTTCAACCCGTTCAGGCGGCTAATACTGTTTCTGAATGGAAACTAGGGCGTTCTTCTGACACTGGCTCCTTTGGGATGCAATTTCCCATACACCTGAGCGAAACTGTTGATTCAAGGAGGCATCTGCCACGTTTAAACCACGCTGGTGCTTATGAATTGCAGACTATTCCATTAAGTAATATCAACGCTCCCGAATGGCAATTAAGACATCCTGTCGACGTCAGTACATCCGGGTGGTCGCCTACCCAAACAACCGATAATGAGACTCCTATTGATCATGCCGTCATGCCACAAGTTCAACCGACTGCTCCCATAAGGAAAAAGCCCGGACCAAAAAAGGGATGGAAAAAGGTAGTCCATCGAGAACAAAATCAGACCGAAGATGCAATTATAACCCCCAATCAACCTTCCGAAAATAAAAACTTTAAGAGAAAAGCTGTCGATGATGAAATTATCCAAGTTTCCACTGCAAACGAAACTCAGGTTTCTACAATCAATGGAGATAATCTGATTATATTAAACGAATCATTTAACACTGAAACTGCAGGACCTCGTGCAAGAAAGAAATCCCGAAAGGCGATGGAACAAGAATCTGCTCAAAATCCTACTGCTATTGAAATTCCGAACTCAATAAGTACTGGAAATAATCTGTCTATACTGAACACTAACACAAATAAGTCTCGTCGTGGGAGGAGGAAAGCTAAAAGAGATGAGATAATTGATCAATCATCTACTATCATCGCTACTATAAATTCCACCGCGACCAACACAGAAACACTGCCTTCGACCCTAGATCAACTGCCTGGTGCTGATGCTGCCAAACTGCGACGTGGAAGAAAGAAGACCGTAAAGTCCAATGATGGTGAAATAACTCAAACTACGATTATAAATGAATTCCAGGCCCCTGAAAACAAGGAAGATGATCAAATAATTCCGAATGATCCGTCAAACATTGATGAAAAGAAACTAAATAAAAGGAAAGGTATCGAAGAGCAAATACTGACTTTAAATACTAATGATGAACAACCATCCACGGTCATTAAGAAGATTAAACTGACATCAGCACGTGAAAAAAAAACACCTGGAAGGAAAAAGGTCAAAAAGAATGATATACCGACTCCTAATGATACCGCCAGTCAACCATCATCTGTCGGTGATCTTCATCCAGCGCCTGACTTGAAACATGAAATCACTCTCGAGTCTAATGAAGTTACATTTCCTAACCATAAAATCCCTGATTATCTCATTGTAAACGAAGTTCAAACTTCTACGAAGAGCACGGACATTCAATCTCTTTTAAATCCATTGACAAATGATATGAACCATTCCCGCCGTGGGAGGAAACCCAGCGTAAAAAAGAAGGGTATTGAAGACGAGTTGGCAACAACATCAACACCTAATGCTAATGACGAGCAACCTTCCATAGCAAAAAGGATTAAATTATCAATAACAAGTACGAAAAGGTCTCCGGGCAAAAAAAAAATCATAAGAAATGACGTAACGACCTCAAATGAAAATGTCGGTCAGACGTCTAACACTACTGGGGGAATTCAAACCGCAAATTTTTATCAATTCACATTTCCGTCCAATGAAACGAACTTTTCTAATCGTAGAGGCCCTGAAAGTAATCTCGCTCTCTCGACCGTGGCTATGACAAATGGTGTTTCTGAATATAATATGACAAAAGCGGCAGAAGAGCTTCATAAGTTCTTCTCAACATTGTGTGCCCCAACTTCTGCATTATCAAGAGAACAATTTTTAAGGCTTGGGACATTTCTCTTCGATCAAATGTTATCACAGGCATTTGCACGTCCTTTTATAAACCCAGAGTCAGAATCAGCCGTATACTACAGATCCAAGATTAAAGATTTGATGGACCTAACTACCGCTGAAACAAAGCTTTGGAGTAAGAAATACTGTACGCCTATAGATTTGTACAAAGACATTTGCCAGATCATGTATAACGCCTTCAGCTTTCATAAGGAGGGAGATATTATATATGAGGAGGCGAAACAAATGTCCACCTGCTTTCAACGGCTTGTGCTTAAACTAATGTATGCTTTTAGTTTGTAAAATTTGTGACTTATTTTATTCGTTATCATCTCTTCACCGCTAAATTTTCTTTTTACTTTTTTCTTCCTGTGCGTAGATCTCAGGGAAATACATCCAGTGGAATCGAATCTGTCTTGCAATCGAATCAAGTCACACTGCCACATGAAGAGTTCACTAACATATCAGATTTCTCACCAAATAGGAATAGGTGGACATTGGTCTCATTCAAATTGCTCATTTTTATTAACTGATGAGCTCTCAAATTAACTGGATCTCTATTTCATTTACATTTTAATCTTAGTCGCGTATTTATGATACCCATTTACACCCTTCAGGAGAATAATAAAACAGGACCACATCGTAAGCTCGAAACACGGGTAGCTGACAGATTGGATCCCATGTCACGCCCTTTTTGTGAAGCTTATAATGCAGAGATATTTCCTCCAATGGAATTGAATCTGTCAGTGTCAGGTCGTAATTTTGGTCGCCTATATATTGTCAACGGTCGAGGTGCTCTCAGCGAATGTCGTGACGACAAGAATGCGATGCTAGCAATACTGAAGGACATTGTATATAATAAGAATAACGAGTCCCTAAAATGCAATGCCATCATTGCCAAACCTTTTGGAAAGCTTAACGAACTCGACAGCATTGGGTTCCCGGAGTTAACCGACGCAAGAGCATGGATTAAATGCGCTTACTATAATCGAGTAACGATTGACCTTCAAGTGTCCAGAAAATTCTATGATAAATACGTAAAGTGCTCATTCGCTGTTCATGAATATAATCGAGAATTACTGACCCCTGAACTCCACGAAAAATTTCTGGATGCCTTACACCAACAACGAGTCAATTATTTGCCTCAAGTGCCGCAGGATTGTCAACCACAGGTTACCGACGTACAGGAGGTACCACCGAATCCTCAACAAGACAATAATATATCCGAGGCGATACTGGACTATCAACAACAGGAGGATGATCTACCTGAAGAGAAAAGCCTTTGGGCAAAGCTCGAACGGGGTAAATTGGCTTGCATACTGTTTTTTACTTGCCAACATTTGAAGTATTATGTTCGGCCTACATTAAATCTTTATCTTATCTCTAATTTGCAGAGGCCAGAACGCGAGGTGTTCCCTGTGAAGAATTTCAATCCCTTGCTCATATCGAAGTCAAGGCTGAGGGTACTTTCAAAAAAGTTGCCCACGTCGCGGGAAACCCAACATTTGTGGTTCAACAATTTAAAGAAATCAATGATAACACCTTAGAAGTTAGAGTCCGCGAGGCGGTCTGCTGCCTGTAAATAAAATATTAAATTTGTGCTGAACTTCATTTCTGTGATTAAATAATAATTCATTGGGTATTTTTTTATTTATTTTTCGTAGAAAAACAAAGGGAACAGAGAACACTGGGCAAATACTCTCGCTTTATAAGGGACCTGGTGACGAGTTGGTAGGACTGTCGATGATGAGGTACCAGCAGACCCTGAAGGAGTATGCCTTTGACTCTAGGCGTCATCTGACAGGAGAGCAGAAATATGAACTCATCCTCGGCATGATCCGAGGCATCTGCTCCCTCCATCAAGTCGGATTCGCACACCGTGATCTGTCCGAGGTCAACATGATGGTGTCGGAAAAGACCGAGAAACGCCTCGAGGACGGAAGTGTGATGCCCGAGTTAGTTATTATTGATTTTGGGAAGGCCGAGTTTACAAGACCCGCCGATGTATTGAAGTATGTATCAGATGAACGCATATTTATAATTTATCTATAACTTACATTTTATTAAATTTCATATTTTATTTAAGGTGGTCCGTCGGTGAGGTCGACAGAGAGAAGCTCGGCCTTCTACCCAGGATCAAGACGGTGCCCGATCATGGGTACAAATTATACCGGTAAGCATTAGATCTCTGTTTTTGTCATACCTTCATTCTGACTTTATTAATAACGTTCTATCCATTTTATTTAAGGTCGATTATGACACTGCCCCGCAACAGAAACGATAAAGAACCCTTGCCTACCCCGATTGATCCATGTGCCGAGGACATTTATGCAGTTGGCGTACTCGCATGGAGAACTTTTTCTGGACTGGCACCTTGGGACGGAGTTCTTGATACACATCTCAAGAGGCTTCGTGAAATTGTTGAAAATCCCGTTGAAATCAGGCGCTGTATCGAGAAAGTGCGAGGAGAGAGATCAAAGGAACTATTATACAAATGTATTACCCGTCATTCACAGGATAGGGTCACTGCAAAACAACTTCACGATTGGTACACCCAACCGCAAGTGAAGGCGGATTTGATAATGGAGTGGAGTGTAGCTGGGCGTATCAGGAGGGAGGTAAATAAAGAATAGGTTCTTTCTGTTGGTGGTGGTTTCTCGTTTCAGTCTGGAATAAGAGGGTTAAGGAGTGAGGAGGACATCTGGCCTGTCGTTAAGCAAATAAAGTTAAATAAGTAAATAGAAACAAACAAAAGTAGTAATAGTAATAATTGTAGAATAGAAGGTATATAAGGTGATATAAGATATCCCTTTGAATAAATCTATGTTTTATTTTACGTATTTTT